TTGGCCTAGAATTTCTTTATGAAATGTATCACTTTTAATTCATATTTCAGAAGTGCCTTTCTTGACAAGGAATTTTTCTACAATATTTTTGCCTTTTGTATCCAAAATGAAAAAGTGCATGCCTAATTAGTTGAAAGTGAAATTACACATAATGTTGTGTAAATAGAAATATTTTCCTGTAGCCTTTTTTTAAAGAAAAGATCAAATACCTCTGATTTTTCTCAAAAGCAGATTTTACTTAAATTCCTTCTCAATTATTTAAAAGTAGTTTTTTTATGAAACCATGTTTCTAGTTAAAAAAAAATAAGATAATGAAAAGAACCATCATAATCTTTCCTTGTAAAAGGACAAAGGTATTGCATGTGTGTAATATGTGATATGTATTAATACAAAAGTAATGGATCTACTTGTGTGGAGAGAAGAACTTCCTCATGTTGTAACGTGAAGCATTCTAGAACAGTGATTTCCCTTCTGATATCTGAAGTGCCTTGAGATATAGTCTAAGGAGAGGAAGGATAAACATGCATGGTTACACATTTTTAAAATTTTTTTAAAATTTCAATTGGGTTTACAAATTTGTTGATCATTTTATCAAAAGCAGGAAACATGTCCCATAAAGATGGCATTAAATTAGGCTAGCTCATGGTATCATGGATTGCACTTCTCATTATATAAGGCAGGATAATGTAGACATACAACCATTTGGGGAGGGGTTTATGCAAAACCATGGGGCAGTTAATTGGACCTCGTGTTTTTAAAGATGTCTGATGATTGTATGACATAGATCATTTGAAGAAAAATCATCCTCAGTGGGACTCAGTTTTAGAAGATTTCATCAAACATCAAAGGGATGCTTCGATTTAATTCTCACACTGTGATCTGTGACTTCAGAAATAACATGCTGGTAATGGCAATGTGTGACAACCCGAGTCTCAGAGCTGATCCTGGTCGTGGTCTCTGCATGCTTGTTTGCACCATCAGACTTACCTCTAAAGTGCTGTGGTTTCAGAAGGGTAAATGGTAGAGCATGTGGTGTTAGAGAAAAGGTAAGCAAAGCTAATGAAAAAATGGAAGCTAAAACGACTACTGGAGTTTGTGTGAAGGATAGTATAAACCAAAGGGAACCTCTTTTGGGCAGATGATTCTAGCAGTCTTTAAGGATAGGTTTTTGAAGGTCTGCTCTATGTGAGGTCTCAATTAGATTGAGATTAAGTGAAAGAATTTTCAGTGGAAGTGAAACTTGACATTACATTAGGCTATAAAAGAGATGCAGATCAGGGGTATTTTAATCCTGTTTCTTTAGCTACGGTCAGGTCTCTAACCTGACATTTCTTGACACACTCCATTCCAAAGCTGGGTCAAATGCCTGTGAGCTGAACTCTGTTGTCATCCTACATTTAAGCTGCAATGACTGTACATCATGGCTGCAAAACTGGTCTTCCTAATTATCTCTTTTTCTGATCATTCTTATTCTGTAGGGATAGAGAATAAGACCGTAGCTTGCCTTGTTTGCCTCTATTTGCCCAATACCTACCAAACATATCTGTCACTTAATATTTTAAAATCAGAATCTGTTGATTAAATGAATGAATAATTGGACAAGTATTTATGTGCAGAATCTAAGTGACGTAGTAAAAAACTTTCTTCAGTGATCTGTGATTATCTTTATGAATTAGAGATCTTTTGCCCCTCAAATGACTTTATAATTATCACCTTCATGTGGGTAAATTGCTAAAATATATTCCTGATGAGGTTCTGAAACTTGGTAACATCGCTCTTAGATTTGACTTACTGCTGTAAAATATATAGCATGTATGTTTCAGAAACAAAATTTATATTTATTTATAATTTGGTGAGATCTCATGTTGAGTTATAGTGCTTTAAAATATGTGTAGCTAAATGGCAACTTCTTGAGTCATCATTTAAATTGAGTGTAAATCATGTCTAATCTGCTTGTTAACCTGCCCCCCTCACCCCAATTCTTGAATAACAGAGATATCCTTTTAAAAAAAGTCATTTTTCTGTGTTTTATTTTTGTTAGCCTTCTGCAGTGTATTTGATTTCAAATAATATCCACCTTTAAAATTCAAATAAATTTTTTTGATGCAAACATATCTTTTAAAAACACGGAAGAAACACCACTAAATGCTTTTCCAGAGTAGCAAAGGATAAGTCATGTCTTCAGTTCTTCCCTTTACTTCTTGGGTAGCATAAGGGTCTGTAGACAAGAAATGGGAAAAGCAAGAGGACTCTCAAAGTGGATGATTCTTAAGTTGTCTCTTAATTTTCAGTGTACTCTGATTTTGTTAGGATTGCCCCCTCTCTCCTGTTTGTACTTAGTTTATTCTGAAGAGGTGGCAGGGAGCCTACCTAGGTTCCCCTTCTCACTTTGGCCTTTCCTATGCATGTGTAAGTATGAAGTCTTTTTCCCACACTCCCTTTTTGAACAGTAAGGATTCACGTCTGGGAGCCCGCACCTGTGACCTTACATGATGATGCTGGGGATGAGGAAGCAGGGGGATGGATGCTGCCCCAGAGAAGCTGCTGGCTGGGAATCCAAAACAGCAGCGGCAGTAGCAACAACAGCAAGAGCAGGCACAGGAACAAAAACAGCAACTCTAGCAGCCTCCGGGTTAGAGAGAGGATTCTTCTCTTTCCTCACCTTTACAGCTGAACCCCTTGTCCTCTCCCTCTTGTCTAACATTTCAGTGATGTTTCTTCAAAAACTATGGCAGGTTGACAGAATGGACCTCTACAAAACTAATTTAGCATTTTCTCACAGTGTGCTCTAAGTTGGATCAGAAAGACTACCTATGGTCTACCACATCCTATAGTTTATCTTTATTCAGTTGAATTAAAGTAGCAAGGCCTTCTGCAGGCCTTTCACAAAGCATTAGCAGTCCAGTCCTCTGCCCTACCCCTCCACCCCCACCTGACCCCTCTGAAACGAGCACACACAAATAGGCCATGCTCTTCCACGTTCTGGTGTCTTAGCTCAGGCTGTTCCTTGCAGCTGAATAATGCTACCATCCTTTCAGCCTGGTAAATTTCTACCAAACCTTTGACACCCTACAAAAAATACTACTTTCCGCCTCTGCACAGTCATAATGTAATCTGCTTTTTTGAATTCTGCATTGCCATAGATTCATGTGAAACTTCAGTCAGAGCTCGTATTACACTGTATTGCCTGCAATTTTTAAAATGTCACATCTCTTCTCCATAAGGCCCCTGCACTCGATACACCAGTATGAATAGGCCATCCAAAAGAAATACTGTAGCCTTAAAGACATTACTGCTAAATAATGGAATAGATGTGTGTCTGTGTGTGTGTGTGTCTGTGTGTGTGTGTGCGTGTGCGTGTCTCTCTGTGTGTGTGTGTGTGTGTGTGTGTGTGTGTCTCCATCCACAGGCCTGGATTTCATATAGTTTTGAGATGAAGACCTGTTAACATGAAGTTACGTAAAGTCTGGGGAGGATATAAGCATTAACCATCTAGGAGAAAACCTTCCTGGTTTGTAGAACTTTACCAACCAACTCTACCACTCCCTGTTAATAATTTAACATAACCAGTGATAGAGAATAGTTTGAAGAATTATATAAGACGTGACTAATGTCACAGTCATTGTCAATATTTATTGCAATTTGTATTTGCTTGGCTTAATTCAAGATCATTGCCTTTATATCTAAGTTCATTTATTAGATTGATTATGCTAATTTGAAAAATTCTCCTTGCTGAGATTTTATAGTTTAAATTATTAAATTTCTATATCCAGAGATGTCCTTAGTGCTTTTGCAAGGAGGGTTTAGGAGCTCTAGTCTTCTTGGTAGAGAAAGCTTATAGCTACTGTGCAGTAGCACTGTCTGTGAGACTTGCGAAACTTCCACTGTTCATGGGTGGGGGGCAGTGGGATGTGGGCACTGATGAAGATTAAAAGAGGCTTGATGCTTTCTTTGTTCTGCCAGGACCGTGAGGAGGTAAGGGCCATATTAAAGTGGGAGGGATGGAAGCAAAGGAATGTGTAGGAGAGATGTTTCAAAGGAAGCATTCACAAGGCTGGAATAAGTCATCTATAGGCCTGGAGTGGATGGGTTAGGATGAGAAAAGAATCAAACAAAAATGAGCAAGTTGAGCATAGCAAACATTCAGAATTTGAGCAGTCACCTTGAGTGGGGCAGGGAAAGGTAAAGTCACTGAAGTCAACTTGAAGATTATGTCTTTTGCGGTGTATCTGTAAACACTCTTTAAGCCTTTATGAGAGATCAGTAGAGGCACGAAGTTTACGCCAAAAGCTTGACAACTGCTTTGTGGCTTTTCTTCATATTTCGACATCTTCTGCCCAATCCTTAAAACGTTTGGCTAACTAAGCAGAAACTGGACAAAAGTAAGCTTAAGACCTTGCCTCATCTCCTTGCTTTGTCTGCAAAGTAGTGTCATCTCAGGGAAAATAAAATACTGTATTGTTTACAGCCTTAACCAGAAATGTATAAAGTAGCTTGTGTTTCAGTCTGAGGAGGATGGCTACCTTCTCCTGGCAAAATTTGAGGAGCTGGAAGGACTGGGCTAAAGGGTGGGATGAGGAAGATGAAGAGCTTTTCTCAGCCTCTTGAACTAGGTGAATCTGGAGAGTGTGCTTTCCTTCCTCCAAGGTTTTTGAGATTTCAGAACATTATTAAACCTGCAAGTACTTTAAGAGTATGTGTGGCAAGCAGAAGTGCTCAAGTATGTATTTGAATAAATGTGTATTTTTGGTATCTCCTCAAAAAGTTCACTCCTCAGCCGTGTTTTGTATAGGGACGTGCCTTCCCATCTTGCTTTCTGAGTGGGAAATCAGGTGAGAACGGGCCACGCTGCACGTGGTTCTTCCATGCCCACCACAGCGCCATGCGATGGGTGGGTCTGTGCAGGACATCTGTACAGCAGGGCACAACTCAGCAAGATCCTGAGGCGTGGATTTCACTGCAGTCACCGCCCATTCTAACCTAGCTTTCTTTTCTTGCAGGTGCACATATCTTGACCAACTCAGCAGCAAGGTGGATTTTCTTTGTGTTTAAAGAAAAAAACAATGTCCCCGTGTCTGTAGAGATGATTTGCAGTTCAGCCCGGCTGAAGCTGACCGAATGAGACTATGGGCTGTGCCTCCGCCAAGCATGTTGCCACTGTTCAAAATGAAGAGGAGGCCCAGAAAGGGAAAAACTACCAGAATGGAGATGTGTTTGGCGGTGAGTGCTACCAAACTTGACTTTTGACCCACTGTTTCTAGGCCTCTCACTATTTTATTGACACATAATATTTGTACATATTTACAGGGTACTTGTGATGTTTTGTTACATGCCTAGAATGTGTCATGATCAAGTCAGAGTATTTACGATATCTGTCACCGGGAGCATTTATCGTTTCTACGTGTTGAGAACATTTCAAAACCTCTCTTTGAGATGTTTGGAAATAGACAGTACATTATTTTTAACTATATAGTCACGCTACGCTGTTCTGGAACATTAGATCTTATTCTTTCTAAGCCTTTCACTTTTGTGACAGTGAATAATTACAGCAATTATTGGGTTATACAGTCTGAGGTGAAGGGGTGATGAGACCCAGTGGAAATCAATGTGGATCTTTACATTGGATCATCTTCATCGTAATTTATACAAAGTGGTCTTTGAGGAGGAACATGGAGGTTTTTTTGCGGGAGCTAGCATTTCAATCAAGCTTTAAAGAACCAGCAGAATTTAAATTGGTACATGGGACAGTAGCCATGGGGTGTCCTGGTAGAGGAGAACTCTAGGACTGAAAACAGAAGTCCAAAAGTAGAGTGAGTAAGGATTTATAAATGAGGGAGTGAGTTGTTTTTTAAAAGTGTAATAGAGAATGAATCATACATGTTCATATTTAAAGTAAAAATACAATGAATCCAATAATCATCTTTAACCTCTCCGTTGAATCAAAATGATGTTAGGATATCTAGTGCAAAGGCCACAAATTGACAACCCATGGCTCTATCTGGTCTGCAAATACATTTTTTGCAACACCCCCCCCCCCAAATAATTTCAAAATAAAAAGCAAGGCAGCCTTTAAAAATCAGTATATTCCACATAAAACCTCAAATTTCTTCAAAAGAGCTGGCAACAGCAGGTCTTCAGTCCTTGAGGCAACAGTTGGGGGTCGGGTAGCCATTGCCTCTGCGGCCAGGTTGCATCCTCCAGTGAACTGCTGACGCTTCCCCGCTGCATGCACACCAAGTTCACTTCACTCATGGACATTACCTGGCCACTTACAGGCTTTCATGCCTGCCTGATCTTCAGATTGGCCCTTAGATGATTATTGTGAAGCATGGATATATCAACAAAATTCCAATTAGTACAAGCAGATGAAGCAGTTTTTGCAGAATTACTTTAACAACAATAACTACTAATTGACATTTGCATGATGCTTTTATTTATAAAAAACGCCTCTTCGGCTGGATGCGGTTGGTCACGCCTGTAATCCCAGCACTTTAGGAGGCTGACATGGGCGGATCACCTGAGGTTGACAGTTAAAGACCAGCCTAACCAACATGGAGAAACCCCATCTCTACTAAAAATACAAAATTAGCCAGGTGTGGTGGTGCATGCCTGTAATCCCAGCTATTCGGGAGGCTGAGGCAGGAGAATCACTTGAACCCGGGAGGTGGAGGTTGCGGTGAGCCAATACTGTGCCACTGCACGCCAGCCTGGGCCACAAGAGTGCGACAACTCTGTCTCAAACAAACAAAAACAAACAAACAAATAAATAATACCTCTTCCACTCTTACTCAATAAGAGACATCATTGAGATATATTGTAGCACTTCACTGAGATAATGTTTACATGTAAATAACTGTAGCGGCATCATTCAGTCACTGTCACATAATTTTACCACTTTTAGAATCTTTAGCTTTTGGTCCATTGTAATGATTTTTTTTAGTCTCCTGGTGATGAATTGGGAATGCTACAAAAAGCTAATGCTCTGTTAAAAGTGGTCTCCCTCCTGTGTTTTGGAAGGAAGATTTTGTTTTGTTTTGTTTCAGGGAGATGTATTTGTTGCCTGGAACAAATTTGCTTCTACTGGTAACTATCTATAGCATTGAGAACTGTGAAGAAGAGTAACGTATATGAACATCTCAATAAAACTACAGTCTGGATCATTGAAACCACAGCTTTTAGGGAAAGATCTGATTGGAACTAGAGTCATTACTATCACCTTCAAACGCTTAACTTTTAAGAGAAAATAATCTAACATCAGGGGATTTGTTTAACTTCTATCTGATGTTCTGTGTCATTATAATTTTTATAATAGAGCCGCCAACATACGTCAAACATTGTAAGGCATTTACATTCATTTTTATGTTGAATTTTTGCAACACTCTTTTGAAGTAAGTGTAGATTTTACATCCTTGGAAGCTGAAGCACAGAGAGACTGACTTGTCCAAGGTTTCCCAGCTTCAAAGTGCTAGAATCCAGATCACTAAGACTCCAAAGTCCACCTTTCTTTCTCCATGTTGTTTCCTGATGCCCTGCAGCCTCCCATTGGCCGGCCTGCCTTCCTGCCTGCCTGCCTGCCTGCCTGCCTGCCTGCCTGCCTTCCTTCCTTCCTTCCTTCCTTCCTTCCTTCCCTTCCTTCCCTTCCTTCCCTTCCTTCCCTTCCTTCCCTTCCTTCCCTTCCTTCCCTTCCTTCCCTCCCTTCCCTCCCTCCCTCTCTCCCTTCCTTCCTTCCTTCCTTCCTTCCTTCCTCCCTTCCCCTTCCCCTTCCCTTCCTTCTTTTCTTTTCTTTTCTTCTTTTCTTTTCTTTCTCCTTCCTTCCTTCCTTTTTTTTTTTTTTTTTTTTTTTTTTTTTATTTGAGACAGTCTGGCTCTGTGGCCCAGGCTGGAGTGCAGTGGTGTGATCAAGGTTCACTGCAGCCTTGGCCTCCTGGGCTCAAGTGATCCTCTCGCCTTAGCTCCCTGTTTAGCTTTGGGACCACAGACATGTGCCCTCACACCTGGCTAATTGTTTATATTTTTAGTAGAGATGGGGCTTTGCCATATTGCCCAGGCTGGTCTAAAACTCCTGGACTCAAGCAGTCTGCCCACTGTGGCCTCCCAAATGGCAGAGATTACAGATGTGAATCACTGCACCCAGCCCTCATTCTTTAATGCAAAAAAATATATATATATATTGATTGGTCTGTATTCTATGTGTAAGGCCTTTTGCTAAATGCCAATGAGATTACAGAGGTAAATAATCCATAAACCTTGCCATCTAGGACTTTGTAAGAAGATAAGGAAGTGTTACAAGGCAGAATCGGCCAAATACCTTAGAGGTAAAGACATACCTCATGATAACAGTCAGCGGATAGACACTCTGCCTTACGCGGCAGAATCAGAGCAGATTTCTTAGGGAGATGATATCTAAACCTGGCCTTAAAGGACTGAAAGAAACAAAACCTGTCTTGATCTAAACTGGATAAATAACAGCTAGGTAATGTAAGATGTATTCAAGAATAATAAATATCTCATTTGCATGGAACATAAACTATAAATGGGACAGAATTGGCTAGAAAACAAAGTTAGGGTTAAATTATGGATAACTTTGAATACCAAATGACAATCTTTAAAGATAACTTTAGATTTTAAGAGCAAGACTTGGTGATATTCAACTGTGCTTACATTCTGCTTGGCAGTGAGACCACTTAATCATGCCTTCACACCTTGTATAGCCAGGCTCTATTGTTCTAAAGCACCATGGGTATTTTGCCAACGTCAGCATCTGGTAAAGGAGCTTTGTGTTAGTCAACTATTGCTGTGTAGACTGTAACTGAAACTCAGGTTCAGTCACTCGCCACTTGCAGAGTCTAATTCACAAGAGCAAGATCTGGCATAAAGAAAGTGACTTTATGCCAAGGCTTATCTTTGGGGAAGACTTCGTACAGGCTCCTGCATTTTAGGTGCCACTTTGCTTTTGAGGCAGAAAGTATGGACTCTTAAAGGGGGCCTTCGCATGAACGGCATACTGGAGAGCGAGTGAGCAGGTGGGGGTCTGTGTGACTCGCTTTGGTGCTTAATCTACTGGTGGTCGGCGGTCGGTGGTTTGTGGTCGAGCTAGGTTGTATAGTGGCCTTTGTCTCAGGACGCCCTCCTGGTGGGAGAGCATTCCGTCAGGGACATACTTTAGGTTGTAAGTTGACTGTTATCTCTTGAGACAATCTCCTTGTGGGAGACAGTTTCTGCTCTGGAGCTTCCAAGTAAGCACATAGATAAGCTTGCAGTGTAGGGAGTGTCTGGTGAAGGGAAGGTAAAGGTTATGATTGCATTTCTGAAGAGCTTGGTAGGAAATGGGAACAGATGAAAAGAAGGAAAGAGAAAAGAGGAAATAATTTAAAAAAATAATTCTCTCTCTTAGAAAAAGGGGGGCACTTGGTTACAAGACAACCTGAATGTCTCAGTCGCATTCCACAGTAACTGTTTCTTTCTTGATTATGAATTGGTGGGTCAGCTGTGGTGGCACTTCTTTATGTATCTCTCATCTTTCTCTGGGGACCCGCAAACCAGTAGGGGCACGCTCTCCTTTCACAGAAGGGCAAGTGTGCTAGCGATACGTATGGTGCCTCTTAAGCTTGGACTTAGAGCTGACACCCTGTCTCTCATCCCCACGTGTCACTAGCCAAAGCAGGTCACATGAATGAGCCCCAAGTTAGGCAAAAAAGTACAGTCTGACCACAGTGCATTTACAGCAAGGGTATAAGTGCAGGGAGGGTCAAGAATTGGGGCTAAAAATCAGTTTACCCCAAGCCCGCCTGGTCATTGCTGCCTCTGTGCATCTATGTAGTTCATGCCATAAAGTGTCAGTTAAGGCCTCTGCTAAATTTGCTTCATCCTCCCAACACTCATATTGAAATTTTATTTACTCCAGCATTCTATCATCTTGTTGATCTCTCTAACATAAATATTAGCAAGTTTCTGGGATTGTGTTAAATAAAGCCAGGGGTACAGTGGGGAGAGAGTTTCACCAATCAAGGGAGATACTTTTGCTAGCTCTGTAGGGCTCTGGGGGAAGAATTACCAGAATCCAAAGTCAAGACAGTCCCAGTACCCTAGATATTATAAATACTACATCTTAAATGTGATGAGATAAGATCTTGTCTGTGTTTCTTCACTTAAATTAATTCTCAAGGAGAAGAAGTTTTCACAATCCCACGATGATCACAGATGGCAGCAGATGAGTGATA